ATTTATCCTCCCCCTGGCTGTGTCTAGAGTTTTCATTTCATACTGTTTTCAAAACACACATTGGGCAACTGAACTACCAACGTGAGGGGAGCAATTATCTGCCTGAATCGGGCTGAAACTGCAAAAAGGAAATAGAGTTCTTGCTGCTGCCCTTGGAAGAATCCATTCACAATCACAAACCTAAAAGGAATCAGCTTTATTGCAACTGTTGAGCTTCCCCGGGGAGAACAGCAACCGTGCTGGTGCCTTTCCCAGCCCACAGTCACAGAACAACAGAACAGGCGTTCACCCCTACCTGCACTGATATAGATTATATTAGCAGCACAAATAAAAATGTATTTTACTATTCTCACCAGCCCTGCCCATGGGAACCTGACTACTTTTAGAACGATAAATAAAATTACAAGTTCCTGGAATAGCCTAAAGTACAAGTTTATGTGTTCTCCAAAATTAAAACCATCTATATGTGTTGTTTGACAAAAATCACTCATCACATCCAACGCCATTCGATTCCTGTCTGTGCTCTCACTCTGAAGGTGTGATAAAATGTGCTAAGCACTAAGATTTGCAGACATGCTCCAAAGAGAACAGTTACACATCCAGCTGCTCTGAAATGCCACGTTCCACTTCAAGACACTACTTCACCTCTCCGCAAAATCCTACACATGATATTTCAACTGAAATAAACAGTGAGGTTAGATGAATCCCATTCTGGAAGAGAATCTGCGGCTGCTTGTGCGCTCAAAATGAGAACACACGATAGTACAGAACCTCTCTAATTGGCAATTTTGATTTAAAACATCTTGCCAATTTCCAGGTGGTACGGACCCCTCTATCTGTCAACACAGACACTGGCATACTCCAAGAAGATGGACGTACGTCAGTGAGGCAGTGGGCACCTATGTGATAGGGGAAAATAATGCCATTCAACGTGATCTATGAAAAGATGATAATAAAGACACATCCTCCACGAACTGGATGCCTGGCCACTCAGTGACCAAAGGACTAAACCAGGTGTGATTTTCAGGCAGCAGATGCCTTTTCTTTGTATTCTTTCCTGACAACAGAACCTTTCTAGTTCAAATATTCTGCAGTTTTGTGTGTGACGTCAGAGACTTCTTAATCCAATTTCGAGACTCTGCTTCTGAAAGCGAGGTTGACAGGACCTGATTTCCATCCTCCTGCTGTCAACCCCAAAGTCACCCCATTTCACAAGTATGTTTGTCTGCAAATGCCCTGCACGGTTTTCCTTTTGATACCTGCCCACAATTTTGACTGCATTAAAAAGAAGCTTAAATTACTCAAGCACTTGTGGTTTTGACAAAACGAATGGAAGAGAAGGTATCACAAGGGCAGCCAGAGACAGGGACCGTGGAGGAACAGGAGACAGCCGCAAATACATGAAAAGGTAAAGAATGAGGAACAGTGTGTATGAGTATCCTCCAGCTGCCATAACAAATCATCATGAGCTGGGTGGCTTACAAACACAGAAATCCTTTTCTCACACTTCTGGAGGCTAGAAGTCCAAAACGAAGATGTCAACAGGGTCGGCTCCTTCTGCCGGCTTTGAGGGAGAATCTGTCCCATGCTTCTTCCTGGTTTCTGGTGAATGACAGCAATCCTTGACATTCCCTAGCAGCCGGCTACATCATTCCAATTTCTGCCTCCACCTTCCCACATAATCATCTCCCTGTGGTCTGTCCTTTATGGCCTTCTTACAGGGACATATTGGACCCAATGCATACCCTAATCCAGTATGACATCATCTGAACTAGTTATATCTGCAATGATCCTTTTCCAAATAAGGAAAAAGTCTGAAGGTCTGAGTGAACATGAATTTTAGGGAGATACTTTGTCAACCCAACACAAAATGATATGGCCACATTTTCACTTTCTAGGAGATCTTGAAATCAACATGTGCACATTGATTCTGCAGCTGCTCACTCCCGTCTCTTGCAGACATGCCTGGTATATCCAGGGTTCCTAGTCAGTGTCTGCTGAAGAATGAATGAACAAGGGTCTGAAGCAGGACCCAAGCCTTTCCTTGCAGAGTGGATCTGCTGAATGGCAGCACCTCTGTTACAAAAAAACCCCATCCACTATCTCCAGAGTGATGTCCTCTAGCATTTACTAGGAAGGTGAAATGGCACAGATGCTTGCAAAGCCTCTGAGTGAGGAAATCTGATGCTTACGACACCTTCTCAATCCTTCCGGCGTCTCATCCACATCTCACTCAACAGCAATTACTTTTAATGTGCTCACCCTGCTTTGTGATTCTACAAAGGACCCAATCTAGTTTTAGAACAATCACCATCTTTACTTCCACATCCATCTATCATGAGCTTATATGTAAGTCAAGATGGCTAGCTCTTGTGCATCAACTGGACTTGGGTAAGGGGTCTCCAGACAGCTGGGAGACATTGTTTCTGAGGTGTGTGTGAGGATGTTTCTGGAAGAGATGAGCATTTGGGCAATGTCTAGTCTACCGAGGGCCTGGACAAAATAAAAAGGCAGAAGAAGGGTGAATTTTCTCTCTATCTCTTCCTCTTTCTCTGAGTTGGAACATGCGTCTTCTCCTGCCTTCAGACACGAGGACACCAGGCTTAGACCCTGAGACACACCTGTCTAGGTCTCTGGCTGGTTCCCTCAGCCTGAGACACACCATCAGCTCCTCAGCACCTCTGGGTCTCCAGCTTGCAGACAGCAGATTGGGGGACTTCTTGACAATGAGGGGGGTGCCTCCATCTGCCGGTTACGAACATGCCATACTCCAGCAAGCTGATGACCCTGATGAGCAGGCAAGGGTGGCACTGACCAGTGCGAGCCAGGTTGAGAGGCATCCTGCTGCCCCTGGTCCAAAATGCATGACTCCAACGCAGGTGGAGAGGGTGGCAACCATGGACGCTTTGCAAGGAATCGATCTTTGAGCTGGGTTTTAAGAAATGAAGAAAGAGGTTTCTAGGCTGATGAAGACGGCGAAGGGCTTTCTGATGAGGGGAACTCGAGGCACAGTACTAACCCAGCGTGTGTGGACCATGAGCTTTTTTCCATGTCACGCGTGGGAGCAGGAGGTGGCAGGAAAGCAAGTGGAGATATTCAGGTCCGGATCCCATCTGCTTTGCAGTTGGGAACCTCACTCTGGCAGGTACAGAAAACAGAGACTGGGGAAGGGGCAAAGGGAGGGAAGGACAGCTGCTAGAAGGTGCTGCAGACTCGCAGTGGTCCAGGGGGTGGCTATGGGCACGAGGAGCAGCAGATGGAGTCCAGTGACGACCAGGCTGCTGAATGATCACGCCTGATGACAGAAGCCGCTGTCCAGGAAGGGCCTCGGTGGACACCTGCCTCACCCTTCTGTTCTCTTGCAGAGCCAGCCACTCCATCTGCCTGGAACACCTGTTCTCCTACCTAGAACTCAGTGTCCTTGGCACCTGGCATTGTACCCAGCACATGGGAGACTCAAAAATTGTCGCAGAAATGAATGAATGAACACTGACTGCATGAAAAAGACAGGGTGATGTTCACACGAAACAGGTACTAACGTAGTTTGAGCCAAAGCCAAAGCTTTTTGTTCATCATCCTAACCATAAGCTGTTGGATAATTAGAAGGAGTCTCCTGGAAACATTAAAAAATATGCCAACAAATTCTGTAGTATTTAACTAATTCCCTTATTGAATAGATATTAAGTAGCAAGAAATCCTTTTAATACAGTGGGGCTCTGGGGTGAAAGCAGAGCGTGGAGGTCACTGATTAAACACTATGCAGAGATATGGTTATTTTTAGTAGTATCACTTTCTGGCTATTTTATTATCTTTGTTGCTCCCATACTGTGTTTTATAGCAATGCATGTCACTCAAGAATAAAATCATTTTTGTGAAATTATTTCAGAAAAATTGGGAAGTGTGCTTTTACCATGTGGGGTAGAGACACCCAGATGGAAGAGAAACAGGGAAAATCCCAGCGGCCTGAGGAAGAAAAGAAGCCCAAGCCACAGGGTGAAGATTTAAATGTAACAGTCTGTGTGTCCAAAAGCAACACTCTTTCGCCCTCCTGAGCCTAACTTGGGGGGACAGGTGACCTGCACAATGGCGAAGTTCACACACGTGAGCTGAGTGCAGCCCCTTATTCCAACCTGCTCACCAAGGACTCAACAATTAAGATGCAATCCAGCCACTGAGTTCTCCCTGACCTCAGGCCACCTGCAAGGAACAGAACCAAATCCTTAGGGAAGTAGGTGGATGACCTGCGTGTCACCAGGGGCTGCTCTGCTTACAGCTCATCCTGCAGGATTCATAGAAAGCTGTTCCTCAGCTAACCTCAACAGAACACTGACCATCTGCAGTCCTCACCAGGTGACCAGTTGGGACAAGAGGGCTCCCCCAGGCCAAGGCTGGGGACCTCACACTGTTCCATGCATTGTCCTCTTGGCAGCTGGAGGTCTAGGGGCGTCTCATGGAGGAGACAGGGCAGCCAGGGGACACTCACAAGGTTCAGGCTAACAGCTATTTCAATTCACCAGGAAGAATTTCTAGGTCATTAACCAGAAGGGTGAGCACCAACCCTGCATGACAGGCCTTAGAATAGGGATAGGCAAACTATTTCTATAGAGTTGAATGGTGAATGTTCTGGACTTTGCCAGCTACATGGTTCCACTGCAATGACTCAGCTCAGCCACTGTAGTGACAGAGCAGTCAGGCAGTCAGACAACCCGTCCGTGAGCAAGGTCTGGCCACCCTCCAATGGGACTGCTTAAAAAAAAAACAAAAAACAGGCAGTGGGGCAGAACCCCCAGGCTGTAGCTTGTGACCCTGACCTTACAGCTGAGCATAGTTTATAATCCCACAGAACAACCCAATCTTCAACCTCCATCCTGTTCACACAGCATCTTACCAACTGACTTAACTCACCTGATAATTCTTATGCACACTTGATACATACAGACCCTCCAAGAATGAGTCAAAAGTCCGTAGTCAATCCCTACTCCCCAAACTAAGATACTCACCCCGAAAAATCTGTGGTGAGCACTCCATAGTGAAAGATGTATATTCGGCTGATGTGACATATTGTAAGGTATCCCATCGCCACAAAAAAAGTGTATCTAAGAGCAAAAACACAGAAGAGCAGTTTATTATGCAGACCAACGATGCACTCAGGAAATGTTCTCTTCCTCCTCTCCCTCGCCCTCTACAGGAGAATGGTCAGTCACACCGGGTCCAGCGACATCCCAGGCCATCCTGAGTCCTCACCTCCCCGCCCTCGGCTCTGAGCCCTTCATCTCTTCACCGGGACCACAGTGGTCGCTCGCAGTCCCGACGGCATAATGGAATCAGCGAGGGAGCTCAGCAAACTGGGAATGCCTGGGACCTCCGCCAGCCGTCCTGGTCGAGTGGTACCAGGTGCACATGGCATTCCAACGTGCAGCCAGGACTGGAACCGCTGACCCGTAAGGTCTTGTACTAGGACCCTCCTCTTGACCAACCATCGTGTTCACAGGATAATCTTTACAAAACACAAACCACCACCATACCCCTGACCCCGCCCTTCCTTAAGGCTGGGTTCTCTTGGTATGCATGCCCCTATTTTCCTGCCCCCGCTCTGGCTAATTCTGCACAGGACCCTCCCTACCCACACCTCAGGCTTCGATCACCACTCTGTCCTTGGCACGCCCCAGCTTCCTAAGAGGTGTAAACCAGCAACACACACATAGGCAGACCACACACACAGACACACACGTGCATACATACACACCCTTGTCATTCACAACATTTATCAATTTGTAATAAATTTACCTGATAATGTGTGCAATGGACTGAATATGTGTGTCCTCCCCAAATTCCTATGTTGAAATCCTCTGATGTGTTGGTAGTAAGAAGTGGGCCTTTGAAGGTCCTAGTGAATGGGACTTACGCCCTTATAGAAGGGATCCCGGAGAGCTCTCCTACTCTCTCTCCACCGTGAGATGCAATGAGGATACAGAGATAATTCAGCAGAGCAGGGCCTTCTCTGGACCTGACCATGCTGCCTAACGTCTGGCTTCCAGCCTCCAGAGACAGGAGAAAGAAATGTGTGTTTGCTATGGCACTGTGCCACAGCGGCCTGAGCAGACCGTGACGATCTGAGGAACTACTGTGCCCTTACCTGTGTGTAAGCTACTCGAAGGCAAAGATGGTCATGTGTGTTGGTAAGTGAATAACTACACGAATGCTACTCGTTGTGAAAGTCTCCAGTGGATCCCACTCTCCAGGCAGGTGAAAACTCCCAGACAGCACACGAGTGCTTCACACTCTGCTCTCTAGCTCAGCATTCTCAGCTCACCTGCAGCCGCCTCACGGCCACCTGAGCTCAGTTACCCTGGCCTGCTCCTGTTCCCTGGCTGCACCCTGTACTCATTCCTCGGTCTGCAGCTCCCCTGTCCATCCATCCCACAGGGCATCCGGAAACTCTACTGATCAGATGAGGCTCAGCTCCAATGCCACCTCTTCCCTGTCACTTGGCGTGCTCTTGCTCCACCCACCTCACCCCATGTCCTGCTCCTCAAAACAACATGTTGTTCCACTGTCTGCACTTTTCTAGTGCTACCTGATAACCTACATAATTATAATGCTGAAAGTTATTTACATAGATGTCTGTTTCCCAACGCACTTGACCTTGGGCCTCCCAACCTTGGCTTGACACATAGGAGATTCAGTTACTATTAGTATAAATAAACTGAACTGAACATACTAAATGCTTTTGAATGGTTCAGAGCCCATCAGATACAGACATACACTCATGTGGTCCAACTTTTCCCATAAAACAGGGAAGACGATTATTCTGATATTCAATTATATTGAAATTCACACATTCACATTAAAATAACTCATGAAGATGAGGTCAACCTAGGAAATAGTAAAGTAAGGGTAATAAAAAAATCATTTGGCAGCAAAAAAAAAAGCCTGACAGGAGTGTGAAGGAGCTCTGTAAACTAAATCACTGCATAAGCTCTTTTTACCATTATTTACAAAGATGTTACAGGTTGACCATGCCAGATATGGAAATCTTAAATGCTCCAAAATCCCCAATACTCCAAAATCTAAAACTTTTTGAACATCATGTCACTGCTTAAAAAGTTTCAAATTTTGAAGCTGGGTGCAGTGGCTCATGCCTATATTTCTAGCAACTCAGGAGGCTGAGGCAGAAGAATCCCAAGTTCAAGGCCAGCCTCAGCAACTTAGCAACTTGGCCCTGAACAACTTAGCAAAGCCCTGTCTCAAAATAAGAAATATAAAAGGCCTGGGGATGTGGGGATGTGGCTCAGTAGTTAAGCACCCCTAGATTCAATCCCTGGTTAAAAAAAAAAAAAAAAAAACTTAAAATTTTAAATCATTTCTGATTTCAGATGTTTTTGATTCAGGGTCCTCAACCATTAAAGTCTATTTAAATATTCAAAATTTAAAAAACTCCAAAATTGGAAACACTTCTGTCCTAAGCTTTTGAGGTAAGGAATACCCAACGGGTGCTATACAAAGAGATTTTTTTCCTGCCATGGATTCATCCCAAACCCTTTAAGACAGTAAAGCAAATAGCTAAGGAAACTCTCCCCTCAAGAGCAGCAGGAGGAACAGAATGGACTAGGCCTCCTGCCCTCCAGCACCCATCCCCCTCTCAGCCAGTTCATGAGCCCAAGGCAGAAGCCCAAGGTAGATTCGAAAGGCAGATTCCTCCAGGCCCAGGTCAAATGCAGCCTCCACACCAGCCACTTGTCCTTTGACTCCCACAGAAGTCAGCCTCAGGCTTGAACCTGGCTTGGAGGGAAAGCATGTTCAAGTCAACCATCCCAATAGGCCCTCAGCTATCAAGGTCGGGGCCAGGAGCTGACTCCTAATACAACAGGGTGAAGCATTCAAGCCCCAGCCTGACCTGAAAAATCTAAGGAATCCAGGAGTGGCACAGAAAACACGTATTCTGGAGACAGACTAATCCAAGTTCAAATCCCAGCCCTGGCAAAGGTCATCTGTGGTGTGAGAAGTTGGCAGAGTGATTATTTTAGGAAAGAGGGGTGTGGCAGAGACTGGGCCATGAGCAATGATCCTGTTCCCTTCTTGACCTGCCTGGAGGTTACAGGTGTTTGCTCACTTTGTGAAAATCTGTCAAACTCCACTTACCTGCCTCTCTGAGCTTCCAGTTCCACATCTCAGAAAAATAAAGAAGAAAATATGTATATACATAAAGATCCCAAAGAGTTGTCTTAGAAGGAATATATTTGAAACAAAGAGATACAATGTTCAATACTATGCTGACCAATAGTTTGTGTACTTAAAATAGTGAAATGTCATATGTTTTCAAAGGAGCTTGTCCTGGGATGTGGCACAGAGTAGGGACCAAGAGTAGCACTGTCGTGGCACGGTGCCTCTGTCCTACATTCTGCTCCACTTGGCCCACACCTGGTAAACTGATCCCATGCTTCCTGCCCCACACGGTGGCTTGGGAAGGAGACAGACCTGGCTCCTTTAAGAACTCTCTAAACAAAATCCTGGGTAGCATCAATGCAGAAAAGGGTCAGTTCTAAATGGCAGCAAATGCCAATTCTCTCCTCTTCCCAGCCACTGGACAGAGCTCTGTGGCTCAGGGAAGAGAAAGGAGAAGACACCAAGAATCACTCAACCAGGGTCCTGCAGAGAACTGGTGTCCAAAGTCCCCCAAACTCCACATTTCACAGGTGGGAAATCTCACAGGCAGAGATGCTGTGTGACCTGACTTCCTAACTCACTCCAGGGCCCTTCCCCTGAATTGATAGGAAACAACTTCAGAATTTTTTTTTGTTTTTTAGTTGACACCAAGTCCACCCACTGGGAACTGGGAACCACCTTCCCACACTGGCAACCACCCAAGCAAAGGGAAAGGGAAGGGCTTCTCGGGGCGTCTTTCCTTGTTACTCTGAAGGCAGAGCCTTCTGCCACTGCAAGGGGACTGGGGAGAGAGTCACCCCTGGCTACAAACCTGGGCCCGCGGTGGGATGAATGTGCATGTGAGTCCTCGACCCTCTGAAACGGGGACCGTACCCCGCCAGCCTTACGTAAGTATCGGGAAAGCTGTTAACTCCAATGGGGAGGGAGTTGGAAACATGCAATACAGATCCAGCACCACTATTAATCATACGATTGCCCTCGGAATTCTGTTTAGAAAAAACAAGAAATTTCACACACACCCCACCATCCTTTAAAAAAAATTTATGAGCATTTCATCATATGAAGTATTTCCAACACCCACTCCTTCCAAACTAGAAAACAGATTTCCTATTTCCCTTCTGGAAGGAATGACACTAACTTCTCAAGAAGGCCATTGAAAAGAGAGATGTCGATTCAAATGTCAGAGCTCCCTCGGACACTAAGTAGAATGAAGGTAAAGCTGAAAAGTAGGCAAAAACATTTTCCTCTGAAAACCAGAAATCTACTACAAGTAGCTATAAAATTATATACTGTAAGGATAGATTTTAATGCTTTTAAAAAGAAAAAAGTGCTGACAGTCTTATGAATCAGGGAGTTCACGGAAGCTGAGGAAAGACACGTACTTTTTAGAGATGCCGTCAGAAAAGAAGCCACAAAAGGGTCAGTAACTTTTAAAAGCGCTGCAGTCCCTCGTCCCATAGTCCTCATCGAGCCCTTGCATGTGCCAGGTGCTATTCTAGGTTTTGAGGATACAACAGTGAATGAGAGAGAAGCCTTGGTTTCCACAGAACTTACACCCCCAGTGTCCCCCAAAAGGCAGTCAGCACTGAGTTTCCAGGAAGACCATGGGAAAGAGACCTTGCAAAACACATCCCCACTCGCTGACCATCCAAGCACAGAGCCTTCAAGTAGAATAAATTACTTCTGTACTTTGAAATAAAAATATATACCACAGCAAAACCCCCTTTTTTTTAAGCATACAGCTTAACGAGTTTGGGGTGTACACCCAGAAAACCATCACCCAATCAAAGATGGCGGGACCCACATCACCCATGCCTTTTCTGACCCCTTCTTTGTCTCCCTGCATCACGCCTCCCTAGCAACAACCTCGGATCTTCTGTTACTACAGATTAGTCTGCATTTTCTGGAATTGATCTGTGTGGCTTCCTTCATTCAGCATATTTAACTCCAGATGCGTCCATGCTGTTGCATCCATTCAGAGCTCTCTCCTCTTCATTGCTGGGTAGTCCTGCACCGAGACACCTAACTCGCTTCCAGTTTGGGACTGTCACAAACTGAGCTGCCTAATCCTGATGAACTCTTTCATGCAAGGCCCAATGAGCATCCCGCCTTCTTCACAGAGCCTTCTCTGAAGACCCCCATCCCTCCCTCAGACGTCCTAGAGGAGCTAAGACACACCACCGTGGGAAACCGGGAACTTAGGACTTTGTACATTTCGAAGATCACACGAGAAACTCACCTTGTGTTGCTCAGCCCCAGGGTCTTACCTGTGTATACTGGATACACTTGCGGTGACCATGATTCCATAACACACTAACACCAGCACAAAAAGATGTACGGAGTACCTTTAAGACACGAGGGAGGGAGACACTGATTGTATTTCATATTAACCCACCCTCTGGCTACTCAGCCTCCCCCCACCCTGCCAAAAGGCAATGATCAGTATGTAAGAGAAAATATATCAAGTACACTTGTCCTGAGTAATCGAAGATGCTACATCTTGAAATGGCACGGGTCATGGCACAATTTGCCAGTTACAGCCCGTAATGTCACAAATCCATAAATGGACTGCTTATATTTTTTCACATCCATATATGACGCAAAGCCTGATTTTAAGAAAAAAAGATCATTGTGCTGACTTCCAATGGGTGGTCAGCTTATTGGTTCCAGTTCTTTCTGTCTTTAATATAGTAAATGGGGGTTCCTGCAGCATCCCCGTTATTTCACAATAAAGTATTTGCAATGCTTTACAGTGATGCAAACCTTTTTTTAACTCTCATTTCACAGTACCCTATTTTACAACCCTGTCCTTTTCTTCCCTTGGTGTGACACCAAGAACATCACCTCAAAACACCCAAATGACAACCATTAGCCTTTCTGAGGCTCATACTCACCAGCCAAAGCAAAAGATGACGAAGTAAGTGCCCAAAATGGTGGCAAAGGCATGCCGGACAGCGGAGCTGCTCTTAGCAGGATGCAGGTAGAGGCGAAACCAGAGAGCGGCGAGCAGGGCAAAGAGCTGGCAGGCGACGAAGTTCACCTGGGGAGAAGGGAGCCGTCACGGTCTTGCCCACGCAGATCCGCCCTGGCTGTCTTTCAGGGGCTGCATCAAGATGCATCCCAGACTGGGCTTTGGGTTTCCCTCAGTGGAGTGTTTGGAGGAGGAACGAGAGACAAAAGGTAACTGCCTTCATGGGGACACCCCACAGCTTCTCCTCCAGGCCCACAGGTGACCAGGCTGCTTCCCCCCAAGGGCACAGGGTCCTAGTGTACAAGGCACCCGTGAGGTCTCCTCCCAGCCCCAGCAGGACCAGGAGGGGAAGGAGGTGTTCTTCAGAGATGCCGAGCTGGGCGAGAGTGTTCCCTTGATTGGTACCTAAGAAATCAGTGTTCTCCGAAGTGGTCATCAGGTGTTTTATGACTTTAATCTTCTCATTTTAAATTAGTAAGAGCATTCCTTAAGGTCAAGATGAGACACTAAATCCCCCCCCCCAAAAGAGACACAGACCTGCGTGAAACCTCCAGAGTCCGCGCAGCCAATTTTGCAAGGTAGCTACAAATTTCCTTGGAAAAGTCACAGTGGTTTCTCTCTCAAGAACATTTTCACATAGGGGCTGGATGGAGCTCAGTGGTAGCGGGAGCACCCAGCATGGGCAAGGCCCTGGGTTTCACCCCCAGGAACCAACACATACACATGCACACTTTACCTAAGGGGAAATATAAAACGATTCACTGAAATGCAGGAGAGACTTTTTTTAAAAAAAGAGGAAGCAAACGTGCATCTTCATAGCATAAATTTATACAAATCAAACAGCGATGACTTAACCATTAATGAAAAATAGAAAAGTAATTGAAATTCTCCAATGTAGGCAGGATGAAAACTTCACCTACTAATTCATTTTTAGAAGGCAATTAATCAAAAAAATATTGAAAATATGAATAAATGCTCAAATTTTCCATCAGGGGATTTTCATGCTCTAATAAACTGCAGCTGTTAATAAGTCATTAGAGCTGCACAAGGGGGTAAGGCTGGAGGAACACTTGAGCCCATTTTGTTTTTCCAATAAAAAGCAACAATACTTTGGACCCTTACAAGTCATAGAAAATATTGCCTTCAAAGAATTTTTATTTCATTATTAAAAATGAACTATTTTCCTCCCTAGTTGGAGATTAGACCCCACCATTGTCCCCAAAAACCTGTGCTCACTGCAACTCACCTTCACTTTTCACCTTAAAAGACACAGAGAGAGTGCCATATGAGTCTGTCATGCAACATTTGGCCACATCTTTTGTGTAGGCTAAATTAACACCACACACACACACACACACACACACACACAGGGAGAGAGAAATGGTCAACTTTGCAAGGTACAAAATGAGGAAGAATCAGCAACTGGAATGTCAAAAGGTTAGGATGCTCTGAGATGACCAATCGCATTCTCTCATTCTCTCCGCCCAGGGACCTGCACAGAGCCACCATGAACGTATTTACTCAAGAGACCAATTGTGGAGAAATCTGCTCCAGCGTTATGGTTTGGCCAATAACTACTGAGCATCTGCACATAAGGAATGTCACAGGGAACAGACCAATGGTTCTCAAGAGTGTGGTCACCAGGCCAGCAGCCCTGACCTCATCTGGAAACCTGATGGCAATGCACACTCTCGGTCTCCAGGGGCCCACGGAGGGAGACATTTCCTGGTGGAACCCAGGAGTGGGTGTTCTAACAGGATCTCCAGCACCCTCGAGTTTAGGAACCACCGGGATACAAGAGAAAGAAACCTGTTCCCTGCCCTCAAGGAGCTTATGTAAAAAGAAGACAACCTAAAAATAATTGCATGGTACCGTCAGAACTGAAAAAGATTTTTTGCTTCACCAAACTTTCATCAAGCTCCTGAATCTTCTCCAAGCTCCATCTGTGCACTTCCTTATAAGAGCATTTCAGTATGAACCCTGCTAAGAACCCCTCCATCCTCCAATCAGACATGGTTCCCCAGCTGCTGAGCCATCCCGCTAATCCCCATGGAGAAGCTATAGTGCAGGATGGCTGGAGTTCGGGTGCAAGCAGGGGCCATGGCCCCCTGGAGGCCACCATGCCACTGCAGGCCTGAGGCACAGAGAGCCAGGGCTGAGGCAAGAGAAGATGCACCAACCTGTCACAATGCGGCAGCCAGGCAGGGCCCATGTGGGCCATGCAGATGCACCACAGCCTGGAACCCTGAGCATCCTCGATCCCACAACCTCAGCCTCCTACTTCCTCCAGGTGCCCAGGTGGGCTGGAGCTCAAGCAGCAAGCACAGGCCACAGCCAGTGGGGACGCCTGTTCCCCTAGTGCTACTGCAGAAGTCCAAACGGTGCTGCAACCCCAAACCCAGAGCATCCATGATCCCATGACCTCAACCTCCCACTTCCTGCTGAGCAGCAAGAAAGCAGATGTGGGGCAGGCCTGAATGGAACTTCAGACTTGAGGATTAGCCAAAGGCATTAGTACTTTTCCAAACCCCGATTATCCTAAACTTGGAACAACAGCGTTGACCCGAGGGCTCTATAAACCCCTGACTACCACACTGGAGTGCTAGCCCTTATGGGGGCCCCCTCTTGCCCCTTAAGAGTTGTGTTTCTGTTTGTCACACTTGAATAAACCCTACTCCTTCCACTCTTGCCTTCCCGTGTTCCCTGGATTTCATTCTCCAGATTTGTGAGGCCTGAAAGAACCGGGAAGGAAGTCGCCATGACCTGCTGAGGTCTGTGGCAACACTGGAGGGCACAGCCGCTGACCAGAGCTGGGCACGCCACTCAGGGGGTAGGGAGGAGACTCTCACTCTGCCAGCTGCGACCGAGCAGGTGTCTCCTGCTGGACCTAACTGCTGACCTAAAATGGGCTCTCTGGGCCGCAGAGGCCTGCAGCTTACACAGGCCCCACCTGCCCACAGAAGTAGAGAATCAAGTTTGACCTCAAATTCTGGTTTCATGGTCACCCTCAAAGTGCCTGGCACTTTCTATTAAATTATTCTATAGCTACAACATTTTGCCCAGAATAAATCCAGTAAGCGGTTACCCCTGCTGAGCAGGTGACATTGCTGCCCCTGCCATTCAGACTTGCCTAGTACCCAGTCTGACTCCCACCCAGCGTTTACACAGCAGCCCGAGTTCCCAGCATCCTTCTGTTGTAGGGAGAAGCAATGCAGCCCAGGACCGTCTGTCTCTGGGGTTTTGCTCCTAAGTAGAATTTATAAACCTAAAGCAAAGACTAATCTAAAAGTCAAAGCAGTTTCCAAAATAAAAATTGGGAAAGATAATATTCTCCTTTGAATTCTAAAAGCATATCTTCATGAATCAAAAGCAAAGGTGAAGAAAGTAACAGATTTTCTAACAATTAAGAAAAGGAAGAAAAACTCTGAATGAAAGAAAGGCTGGTTTTCTGCACAAAAGGAGATGGAGAGTTTGGTGAGCAGGTTCAAGGAGGGATGTCCCCAGTTTGAGGGCGGACAGAACTGGCACTTGGATACGGACAGCAGGGGTGACAACAGGGAGCTACGACCACCGAAACCGGTGGAATCCCTAGGGAGGACTGGAGGCCTGGGGGGGCCACCCCAGTGGAAGAGACGGTTGCCTGGCTTCCGGAAGAAGAGAGGAGGTATCCTCAGAGAAGCGCTGCTTCCAGGAGGTTGAGGGGGTGTCAAATGCAGACCCTGGACCCTGGGTATGTACAGCAGAGGCCAGGTGAGACCTCATGGACCTGAAAAGTTCTTGGGGTTGGACTGAGAACTGGGGTATCCAAACCAAATGTGCAAAAGCTCGTGTTTGAAGGCACAGTCCTCAATCCAGCAAGGTTTGGTGCGGGGCTTTTAGGCACTGATGGGATCATGGGGCTCCTACCTCATCAGTAGATTAATCCATTTAAGGATTAAGAGATGAATCCATTGAGAGCCGGATGGACTACTGGCACGGGGGACCTGGTTGGATGAAGCAGGCCCTGGAGGCACGTCCTGGAAGGTTTATCCTCCCCTCTGTCTGCTCCCAGGACGCCAGGAGCTGAGCAGCCTTCCTTCGCCATGCCCCTCCACCATGAAGTTCCGCCTTGACTCAGTCCAAAGAAATGGAGCTGGCTGACCATGCACTCAAGCCTCTGAAGCCGTAGACCAAAATAAACGTTTTCTCCTCTAAGTTATTCTTGTCAGGTGTTTTGGTCGTGGCAACCAAAAGCTGACTTACATAAGAGAGTCTGCACTGACCCCCAGGAGCCACAGAAGGCTGCAGGCAGCCGCCGAGGCAGCAACAAGATAGCAAGACTGAGACCGCAAGGACAGCTTCCTTCCACTGGGTCCTGAGCAGAGGCCAGCAAGGACCCAGTGGCAGGCCCAGATGCCACTGGAATAGGCCAGGATGGTCTATGACTCCCTCAGAGCTCAGATCTTTTCCAAGTAAAGACATGGACAGCTCCTTCAGTAACCAAGGTTATGCTAAAGGGAATTGCCCCATTAGCAATGAAACTTGAGTGCTACCCTAACTTCAGTGGGGAGAGATCTTAAGAGTCACACTCTGGGAGCGCATCTGTATGAATTTTAGAACCACCACTATTAACATAACTTGAAATGCGCACAAATGTTCTGCACAAATATACTGACTTGAGCATTATTTGCAGTTGCAAAAAGAAGGAAACTAAAAGTGGTAGTGTTTGCTATCAGCCAAAACTTTCAACTGACTCTTGGAAATTTATTCATGAGATGAAAAGCTAAATGCCCCCAAAATCACGAAGTATCATTTACAGGACAAAACTAAGGAAAAGCAACCTAAATAGAGGACACTAGATGCAAATCCCTCCGTGGTATAGCATGCCATCAATTAAAATCACACCCGTAATAAAATGAAAGACATTCTCCTATAACTAATAAACAGCAGAACATCCAGCAGTACGAATACTTACAACCATGTAAAACAATCCACAGCAACATATGGAAAAGAGCAGAGAGGACATGTAAAATTGAACACAGCTGTTATACCAGGGTGACCAGGACCTAGGCCTTTGTTTTGTAAATCTT